TGCCAGTGTCGACGAAGGAGCGGAGTCTCAGAGAGGCTTAGCTCGGATGCTCAGCGTCTCGGTTCATGAATTGTTGCACACAGAACGTCGGAGCTTGCCCGGAATGGGCGTCGTCTCTGTCTTCCTCAGACCCTTATGTCGCTGTTCGAACAGGCTAGTGACCGCAGGAAAGGTCTAGCTACAAATACACGGCAAATTTTACAATATCAGCAGGATAAACTGGTCATAAACGCACACTGCTGCACACACAGTTTACGTATGTCTGCCCACAAACATTCCAAATCTCTCGTGAATGAACTTTTCAAATAGCTTATTTCTTTGACAGAACTGAGAAAATGGCAACTGCGCGTTCGCAAATAATACGAGCCTCTCACTGTGCCCTTTCACTGGAATCAGGTTTCTTGATCCGCACTGAGGCGCAGAGAGGAGCTGACGCAGTAAATAAATTCGACCTTGAACGGGATTGAATGTGGTAGTGTGGCACGTTTTAAAGAGAACGACAAATTGCCAGGGCACTAGTGTTTAGCACCTACAGCCGCACGACTACGGCCCCAAAAGCTAATACGCCTGTAATCGCAACACTTTGAGCTGCCCACATAAGCGGCTGCTGTCGTACATCCCCGATACGTAAATACGAGAAGCCGTGTCGTAATAATACTTTGATATGACCAAAGTCAACCTGCCGACAAGCAAGCATTGTATATATCTGCTTTCTTGTATACTTATACAATCAATCTTAGTACGCTAACGAGTAGGCGAACACCAACCGCACAAACCGCAAACACGACAATCTCGTGCGAAAATAACTTCAAGTTCTACCCAATGCGCAAGTACATAGCATTTAATAGGAATGCACCGAGTGGGTGTACGTTTGTTATCAGCCCGGGTCCTTGCGAACACAGCAGTTGACGCAAAACAAGCCTTGTAATATGCCATGAAGAGCGTTCGACAGCATCGCAACCATCGCCGCAGATGTCATATACAGCTACGGCGCTCACCGCTCATAACAATCGTTACGTTCACAACAATCGTTACTTCTGAATCACTTGTGGTATCCCCTTGCAGAAACACGCGAAAAATATTACAGTTGCATCGAACGAAACACGATATTCAAGCGGAGAACTCGGGTCTTCTCAACGCTCGCTAGCAATGCGTCGAACGGCCCGGAAGGGAATTGGCCGCCGCCGCTTAATGTTGCCTGCTTGCAGCCTACCTTTGCGGTACTCTGAATTTATTTCCAATCACTCTAGTTCGTATACCCGACGTCAGCGCATCGAGCAGACGACCACCGTGTAACGCTCCGACGCGTTCACGCAATCATTGTGCTGGGGGGGGGGGGGGGGGGGGGAGTGTTTACGTTTATAAGAAGGAAAAGAAAAGAAAAGTGAGCCCCGCAACTGTCTGCATCAGGGTGCGACACCTCAGCAGTAGCTCACAAGGGATGGGGGGAGGAGGGATTAAAAGGATAGGAATAAATGTGTAGAGAAAGAGAGATGAGGGAAGCCAGAGAGAGCGACGACAAATCGAGGGGATAGGAGAGATATGAAAGATGGAAACATGGTCACAGGAGTGCGAGGACGGGGCACCACTTGCGAGAGTTCTTGTCGACATCAGGAGATGGCGTAGAGCAAGTCCAGTCTGTCAGAGCTACACTGTCATCGGAGGTCGGCGTCAGGAGATGACGTAGGGCGAGCCCAGTCGGCCTGAGCTACGCTGACGCCGGAGATCTCGAGAGCACAACCGGTCAGCACGGAATCCAGCGAGCGAGTCCACTCATTGTGCTCGTCTATTCTACAGCATCAAAACCAGCGTTTCCAAATTATCCCGCAGAAACAGGCAGAAGACTACAAAATAACGCTGGTCAACAAAGCAACGCCGCTCGCGTGTTCGGGGGTTGGACTTGTTTGGGCACGTCATGCACACGTGACCTCTTTGTCGGATGCCTGAGAGGGTGGGAAGAGATTTGACTTGCGAAGGCTACGCGGAGGAGCGGCAAGGGCTCCGAGCCAGCGCCTCCTGTTCTACGTGGCTTTGTCCGAGCTCGCCTCCTCTCATCCTCATTTCACGCCGCTTCAAAAAACCTGTTTTCTCCGCTCGTTATGAACCAATTCAAAAAAATTTTGTGGCAAAATGTTCCTCATTGGACCCCCAACAACTTCCACTGTGTAACTAAGGTTTGGTGAGTGGCCCTTTAACAAAAATACCTGGTGTGTTGATTAAGTTGTCTTTATGCATAAAAACATGACGAATAAGGTCGTATAATTATAATTTTATAAAAATCACTCCATTGGATGGGTATAACTTTTTTTTGAACTTGTGTCCTCTGGCGTTTGGTGAGAACACTAGTTTGTTACGTATTCATGACGTACTTCCTGAAGTGTGGCAGCTTGGGCTAGTTGGTATGGCATGACGATAGTTATAGCGCGAGAACAAAACAACAACATAGTGTCTTTTGTGTCTTTCGTGTCCTTCTTGTCTCTGTGTCGTCGTTTTGTTCTCGCGCTATAACTATCGTCTTTCGTGTCCTTCTTTTCTCTGTGTCGTCGTTTTGTTCTCGCGCTATAACTATCGTCGTACTTCCTGAGGCCAGATCTGACGGAGTGTCCACTCTTACATTTTTTTTCGTTCTTTATAAAGACCTCGTAAAGTTTGAGGCCCACGGATGGCTTTATGCTCTCTCGTAGTAGAGTACCCAGTACTCAAAATCGTGAATCACTTTTCTAAACACTTCTTGCTCGTACTCAATTGTTTTTCTGGACGCGGCGTCATCAAGCGTGAGGCTCACGGGACGACTTAAGCACAGTACCAAATACTCGAAATCATTAGCCATTTTTAGGGGCGAGACTCCTTAAGCTCGGGGCCCTGCGTCAACGATGTATGTAGCTCTAGTAGCAGTCGTAGTAGTAGTAGGCAGCCACCTCCACGGCCGGACTAGAGGAGTGGCACGCGCGCACTCTTTTGAATGGAGGAGGAAACCCGCGCGCACGATGATCATAAATAAAAAGATAGATGTTTTTCATGAAATAACCTACACAGACGAGTATCGGTGACTTAATCTATAAAATTTGCCTTCAATTTGATGCTTACTAAAGAAACTAGTAAATGAAGGACGCGCTTTGAGCACTATCTGACCAGAAAACGTTGCCACGTTAAACTCGCTGGGCGTAACCTCCTTGGTTTCAGCAAGGTTTAGCGAGGGTTGGGCCGCAGTGCCACGAACTAGGGGCGGTGAAAGGTGCGAACTAGACACGAAGCGCTGGCCGCGCCCTATAGCCACACGAAAGTGCACTCACTCAGATGAGGTGTTTTCAAGACGGCTGCTTACACTGTCCAACAACTTCCACTGTCTAACTAAAATTGGTTATGGGGCCTGGAGCGCGGCCTTCTTTCTACATTGAAAGCAATTGAGAAAGCTGTCTAGAGGCATTTCACGAAAATCCCATAGTTGGTGACCTCTTTTGGATTGTTCTTGAAAAGTTGGAGTGATTGCCACTGCATCTTTTGAGTTATACAGCTCATGATGAGAACCTGATGGCTAGAGTATCGATATTTCATATTGTGATGAGAATATCTCTTTCTTTTTGTTTTTTTTTCTTTTTTTGCAAGAAAACAAATCCGGAGCTTTCTGAAAAGGTAGAAAATGCGAAAAGGAAAGTGAAGTAGCTGTAACATTTTGCACTCTGTTCTGGATTGATAGCCGTCGCGAAGACTTGTCTGGTGAAGAGTGTGAAGCATGGGTACTGTTTTTTCGACAACGTCTTTTTTGTACCTATTACAGAATATGAATACTGTTATTAAATAATTTCTACATTCCAGTAAGTCAACTCGTTTGGGGCTTCTACAGATGTTTTTCGCCGCTTCTTGTCTGGGCAAGATGGCTCTGGTTAAAATTATAGCGGTCGTCATAAAAACTACCCGGAAAATGGTCATTCATGTATAGAGCCTTCCATACTTTAGGTTAAACGTCATTAAAACAGCTAAATTATAGGCGGGACATCAATTCTCAGCACATTTCAATGGACAACGCATCCGGGTCAATCTTTTCAGGGTACCCAGTTCGTATCCATATAAGCAGTCCAAAAATGCGACACGAGAATGTCGACTGGGAGCACAATGAATGGTGAAGTTTGATAATAGTACAACAAGAAAGCCCCACCACGGTGGTCTAGTAACTAAGGTACTTGGCTGCAGACCCACAGGTCGCGGAATCAAATCCCGACTGCGGCGGCTGCATTTTCGATGGAGGCGAAAATGTGGTATGGGCCCGTGTGATCAGATTCGGGTGCACGTTAAAGAATCCCATGTGGTCTAAACTTCCGAAGCCCTCTGCTACGGCGCCTCGCATAATCATATGGTAGTTTGGGGACTTTAAACACCATATTCAACAAGAAAGCCGCCGCGAGCAACAGTGCGGCAGTCCACCACGGTACGCTATCGTAGCAGATTGTGCGCCGAGAGTATACCGCAAAATCTCACTGCAGCGCCTCTAGTTCTCGCTACCGCCGTTCGGCCTGCCCCCCTCTGTTGGTGGACATACGAAGCTTTGAAACTGAGTTTATTCTAGTAACGTTGGTGCTAATCACAGCCTTCAAGGCACCTTTCGAAGTTATAGGACATTGGTAATTTTAATGACCAGATTGAAAACAAACACGGCACATCTTAGCTCTCACGTTCCACGTCTCGTGTTTTGCGCTTCTTACCATGCACAATGAACTATGAATCACGTTTGAGAAGTGCCACGAAGGCTTAAAGCTATTGGCACTATGGCAGACAAAGCAAGTTTGCAGTTTGAAAGTGCGCAAAGCCTTGTACCTAAACTCGTACTTGACAGATACTAAAAAAAAGACACTGCTGATTCGTGAGGCAATAAGCTCTTTCAATGAAGCCATTCGTTGGTCACCCAAAAGTGTGGCCAGCCCCTTTAATACGCGCCTTCAAATAATGGGGTCATCTCTCCTTTTAACTGGTCATATTTCTCTTTTCCTGTCGCCTGCGTTCAGCTCTGAAGCAAGACCGCAAGCGTCTGAAGGCTGAAAAGTTTGACCTGCTGAACCAGATGAAGGAACTCTACGGCACACTGGAAGACAAGGAGAAGGAACTGCGGGACTTCATTCGGAACTACGAACAGCGCATGCACGACAGCGACCACAGCCTCAAACAGGTGCGCGAACTATATACGTTGCTAATTAGCACTAGTTCATGGCGAGTAGTCTGTGCGGACCGTCTTTTAATCGGAGATATCGGGGATGTTTAAAGAAATTTATCAGCCTGAGATCAACGAATCTAGTGACAGTAGAGTCTGTTGTAGGGAACTTTCAGAGGGGACTGTTATCCTGACCGGGAGTACGACGTGAAAAAGAAAGGGTTAAACCCAACTTGTAATGCATTGACGAAGACAGGGGGTGGGACTCAACGCTTTCCTTCTGGTATCTTTAAACTTTAGGAGTATGTATGCACACTCAGATATAAGAACAAGAATGAACGTACAGAGTGCAGCAAAAGTTGCCAGGTCACTATTCAACGTATTCCTATGGCAGCGTGAACTGGTAACTTTTGCCAAATAACGAAGAGTCCTCTTCCCCCCCGCCCCTCTCGAAAAGAGTTTCTGGCTACGCCCCTGAGTATGCAGGCGTAATCCACGCTGGGCCCCTTGTAACTCTCGATGACTGTCATTCAAGCTGTACCCGTTCCGCTTTCCCGAGTGCCCTCGTGCAACGCGGGAACCTCGCTTGATGCACGGCTGCGGCGTCTCATGCAGCTGGCGCAGGAGCGCGAGGAGTGTGACCGCGAGCGCTGGAACCTGCTGAAGCACGCCCGAGACGAGGCCGAGCGAAGCGTGGCGCTGCGAGCGCAGCTCGGCATCAAGGAGGCGCAGGTCAAGCAGCTCCAGGAACAACTGCAGCAGGTATGCCACGGGTGTACACCCTCCAGCATGTTTGAACAGCACATGGTTGGTGGGGCGCTAAAACACGAAGACGTAGAACAGAGAGCACATGACGAGCGATACCTCGCGACTGAAGTACCTGCTCTGAAAAAAAAAAGAAACTAACCGAACAACAAAGCCTACCGTGGCAGACCTGTGCAAAAGTGAGAAAATTAAACATGTCACACAAAGTTAAACGTGCCAAGCAGATACGTGAACTCCGTCGCTGGTAACGATATCGGTCCATAACTAGCGCGAACCTCCCCCATTATTTTAGTGAGAAAAATTTCGATTACCTCACGACTTGATTTCAAATATATGTCTAGAAAGTATCTCCGCATCTACTAACGCAGGTGAGTAGTGTGTTATGTATGCTTTCTCTAAACAAAGTGCTCTGTCACGTATTGGCGCTCTTCTTGTGCTCTCAAAGTCTTCATCTTTGAGCGCTGCATCAACAGCGCATATGCGTATATTCCAACTAGCCCGGCTTATAGTTCCACTGATGTATGTGCAAGCTGTCCGAGCTTTTCGTGTATATGTCGGCGTATATGTTATACTTCTAGATTCCATCTCACTTTCTCGGTCGCTAGTCGCTGCATTAGAATCTAATGTTAGCATTTCGCACACAGACATGCTTAAAAGTTTACAGTCTGCATTAGCGCATGATACTCATCAACTATGCTGACGTCTCGTTTATTAATATCACAAGCGACATCTGAGGTGTGCTTGGCTTTTGGGAGTATTCCCATTTGGACACGAAACAAGACAAATACTTTGACTTGTAATTTTCAGGTCTTTGTTTCTGAACGCATAAACACATCGATTTGTCTTAGTCACTCAGCGTGTGATTGTGTGTGCACTATGGCTCATTCGGTTTCATTTCTCAAAGTATATTTCAGTTTTGCGTATTTCAAACGTACCATTCATTCTGCAACAGCACCTTGGCTTAGCACTGAAGTAGGTGGGTAAATAGCGCTTAGGTAGAATTAGCATGCTCGACCAAGTTTTGCACAGAGCACATACCGTGCGTTCCGCACACCCAACCAAAGCAATGTAGACATTATAGCACCTTTACGAATCAAAAGCCACTACGAAGCGATACTTCAAAGATGATGATATGTACTCGCTAAAATTATTGAGGCTGATCATTAGACTCCCTTGAACTTGGACTGCTGATCAAAACAACCAAATAACTCGATGCGTTTATAAATAAATCATGTCTGCAGGTTCAGGAAAAGTTGACTTACCTGTCCGACGTGGAGAGCCTGCAGGGTATCGCCGGAAGCAGCAACGGCTTCCAGCAAAGCACTATGTCTCGACGAAGCTGCCGCAGTCCTGCTCTTGGAAGCGAGCCGCCAATGGTCACGCTGGGATACGACTCCAGTCCCAGCCACCATGGTATGTGTACAAACCGCTTGTCTCTAAACAAAACCAGGTCTTGCGCAAGATTAAGGCAAATTATACCACCTCAATCGACTTTCCTTAATGCTAAGGAATACCAGTGCTGTCTACGCTGCCCATACCCGTCGCTTTTGGCCGCCTCTATGTCAAAGGGCCCTGCGACACGTTTTATGGTATGACGTCACTGGTATGACGTCACTAAGTTATTTGCCTCATCAATCTACTCACGTAAATTCTGGGATCAGTCTAGTATGAGCGGAGTTGCAGGAACTGATAGCATGCTGTAAGCACTTTCTCTCTGATTTCGTTTCAGCGATCGCGCTGAAAGCTACACGAGAAGGCGGGGGGGGGGGGGGGGGGGTACGGCACGAGAAAGCAAAAAGCTACGTTGGTTTGCCACCGCACTTCATGATTTCGAGTGGTTACGTCTCTTGTTTTCCTCAGCTTATACGCAGGCTCTCTTCTAGTATGATCACGAACGCTGCTGCTGTAATGCCGTGGTGCAATTCTCGGGCGCAGAGCGCGCGACGTGCATCGTGGCACACCGTATAGCTGCTGCGGCAGCTATGCAGGCTGTGTTGCGGAAGTCATCCAATGACCTTGTTCATGTGCCTTTCGGAATACGACGCAGTTGCTTGTCGGTGCACGGACGTCGTTTGTCGAGGACTGAGTGAGACATTTCTGGCCAACTTTGAAATATAGCTGTAAACTACGTGCCATGTCCTGAGGTATGATTGGGTTACATGTTTGCTGGAGCCTGTAGACTATCAATCGGCAGCATTGTGTCACCATGCTTGAATAGGGTTCAGGACCCTATATATTTAACTGCTCAAAAGACCAGCCGAGAATCCACTCAGGCACAGTGACGAGTATGAGTACTGTTTGCTGTAGGGGGGGTCTGCCTTTGCACGAGTTGCCGGCAACATCTCCACCATATAAAATGCGGTAAAATGGTAACTACAGTTTGAATTAGTGGCAGCAATATCTGTGTAACAAAAAAAATCATGGCGTGTCCGCAAAGTGGATGATGATGAGTGGGCGAAGAAGTGGAATCATTCGGTATTACATTAAGTCAACCGTGACAGTGACCGCTCACGCATGTAAATGAGTGTCAAGTAGTGTACAGTTATACACATTATTTATTGGTCATAGCTCGTATGTTGTGTTCAGTTGTGGATTTCGTTCTCCCTTCGTTTATACTGTTTTGTAGTATGGGATATAGCCTAAAGTTGGCAAAGTCGAGGTCTGAGCACGTTCCCCTGGTGATTGTTCGTTGTTTGTAGTCATATGAAATGCCGATAGCTATAGCGCGAAAACAGAACGACAAAGAGACAAGAAGGAGACGAACGCTTTGTCGTCGTTCTGTTCTCGCGCTATAACGGACGTCATCCCATGCCACCTCGCCCAAACCACCACGCTTCTATATGAAGTGCATCGCGTAGAGTATCTTGAGACGCTGTATGCTGCACAAGCCAGTTTTTGTGATCATCATCGTCATCAACGTCATCGTCATAGCGTATAGTGAGTACCTTGCATGTGCTGTGCCGTGATGGAGGAAAGAGCGCGATCTAGAACGCACTTTTCTTTAATCGTCATCGGCGTCATCATCAGCAGCAGCTACGGCACACAATGCCAACGCCAACAGACAAGCCTCGATTTTAAGGTGTTTCGTCCCGATAACTCTCACGTGTGCATTTCAACATTCACGCTCCAACTCAGCATCATAGAGAGAAACCACGGGAGAAACCAAACCACCTCTGTCCTGGAGATCCGATCTCCTAGCGGAACCAATAATGTTACTTGCACTTCAACTTTCGGGTTTCCAGTGTTCGATACCATCTCTTGGTTAATCTGATAGCACTTACACTGGAGCTGGTCGAGGTGGTAAAGAAAACGGATGGATGCGTGAGCAATTCGACAAATGATTGATTGATTGATATATGGGGTTTAACGTCCCAAAACCACCATATGATTATAAGAGACGCCGTAGTGGAGGACTCAGAAAATTTTGACCACCCGAGGTTCTTTCCACCTGAGCGCACGGGCCTAAAGCCTGATGCCTTCATCGTAAATGCAGCCACCGCAGCCGGAATTTGATCCCGCGACCTGCGGGTAAGCAGCCGAGTACCTTAGCCATTAGACCACCACGTCGGGGCACGTCAGCAATCCGTCAGATGTACTTCTTGACTCTGAAGTGCAAAAGCTATAGGAGCAAAATTGTGATGGCAGCGCTTCAATCATTAAGATCGTGGGCTGCTCCCGCACCTTTTCACTCGCACGCATAACATCCTATGTGCATATGGCAATGTTATCGATTTAAATGTAAACGGAACATCACAACGACGACGATGGCAGAAATGCTCCTGCAGTGTTTCCATATAATTACAATTGTATTAAATAAAACTTGTTTTAAAATGGCATTCCACCTACCTTCCATTTGCAGCGGCAAGTAGCGGTGGCAGCGGGGTGATGGACAGCCCCAAGAAGTCGCCGGTGTCGGCGGCCTCGGCTTCGGCGCTGCCTGGCCTCTCGCGTTCTGCAGAGGAGATATACCAGAGCAGCGGGTCGTCGGACGCGAGCGCGCCCCGGGGAGCCCCTGGAAAGCCCAAGAAGCGCCGGGACGGCCGCTCACCCTGGGGTTCCATCTCCAGGGTGTTCCTCAGGGCGCGCCAGAGGAAAGCACTAGAACCGGCCCTGTACGGCACCACCACGGGTAAGCAACTGCGTATATGTTTGTTTGTTTCTTCCTTTCTTTGTCTGACGTTTCTAGAGATGATGGCCGATGGCGAACTTCACTACTAAGCGCGCCTCTTAGCAGTATTAGGCATAAATTTCCATCACAGTCCACTACCGTTAGCCCTTCGGAAACAGCGAGATTCGGTCGAATTATCCGAGAGGTCGAATTAAACAACGGTGGTGATATAGGAACATTTATTGATATCTTATCACTTGAGGCTCCATTATGTACCCTCTTTCTCGTTCTTGAAGCACGACTTAACCGGCATGTGGTGACAAGCGATGGAATGCATGCTCCAACCAGGCCTTTTAGCAAGAACATTTTCTAAGGAGAGAGAGAAGGGGTCGCTTGTTGAAGGCATGAACTATTTGAGAAAAATACCAATTTTCATTGCTTATTTCCGGTAAAACACCTCCCTCCATCCGAAAATCAGAAGGTGGCGGAGGACGGGTTTATATGGCATTCCCCATGGCTGCGAGCCTTATTAAACAGTTGCTGTCTCAGCGCTGAACAGAGAAAGAAAATGAATGAATGAATGAATGAATGAATGAATGAATGAATGAATGAATGAATGAATGAATGAATGAATGAATGAATGAGACCTTTATTAAAGGAAAGGACGACTCCTGGCCGCTGTAGGGGACGAGGTGTAAAAGGGATAAGGGGCATAAAGGGTGAGGAGCAGCTTCGTGTCACGCCTTCGCACGGGTCAGCCGACCTCTCCTACACTTCTTGAAACAGGCCACTTTGACTACCGTAATAACTAGAGCTTTCCGTGCTTCATTGTCTGACTTTAATAAATTCCGTAGTGCGGTCATGTCGGCTTGCAGAAGATGTAGAAGGCGCCGCCTGCCTTTTGAGAATGCCGCGCATGTCCAAATCAGGTGTTCTAAACCTGCCCGGCATAGCGCCTGACAATGTGTGCATCGCGTAGAAATATTTTTACTTAACAGTCGGTTAGCTTGCTGCCATTTGTCTAGTATGTGGGGTTGGCCATTACTTTGTTTTGAAAATTTCTTGTTGACGTGTGAACCCACCTTTGCAATTTGGCATGCACGCCGGTGTGGCTTCCAACAGTCTATTTTTGCTGTCCTATTTCATTTTAGTTCAATTTTAATGCATCAGTGCTCGGCTAGGAGAGCCTGCTGTCTATATCTGAAAATAGGGATTCTGGTATTCTAAGGCTGGCGTGGAACTGGGGTGTGGGGAATTTTATATGTGGTCAAACCCACGCGCTTGAACGGACAAAATGAGCGGCTGCGTTTCCCCCGTCCGTGCCAGTGTGCCCTGGTGTCCAGAGAATCTCAACATTTATTCCAATGTCTTGAAATTCTTTTTTTTCCTAGTGCCGTTGGCTACAGCGTCTCCAGTGGTTGGCGCTGTCAGTTCAGTTACAGCCTCGTACGAATCTGTAAGGATGTGATAGTGAACTCTTTGCTCTGTCTGGATTGTTCCTGAATGCCTCAGATGTTTAGTATTCATTATTCTGAGTAGTGTTGTAGCAAAAAGGTGACACACCGATTGTTTTTTTTTCTTTTTTTTTCCGAGACTTATATAGCACAAGTTGACAATCCCATATCCTATCCGGCCCCCTCTCCAAATTAGGAAACTGGCCCATACCCTCCCCCCCCCCCCGTCTCTCTTGCGAAACATTTGCTGCCGACGCCCCTGTTCCTATAATAATGCTCATTATCTGTTTAGAGTCTGCCGTCATAATTATAAAAAAAACAAATATAAGTTTCAGCAGTAACATTACTGCGTGTTGATTTTGTCGGTCTGCAGGCCCGGAGTCGTCGCCCCAGCACCACGGCCACCACCTGCAGCTGCAGCAGCAGCGGCAGAGGTGCTCGTGGTCCCCGCAGGGCGGCGCTGGTCCCAGCCTGGGCGGTCCTCCGCTGCTGACGCAAGAGGAGGCGGCCGAGAAGCTGCGCCTGCTAGAAGAGGCCCAGGGGACGCCCATGGAGCGGTGGAAGGCGCCCACCGTGCTCGCCTGGCTCGAGCTGGCGCTCGCCATGCCCCAGTACGGGCCAATGTGCGCCGAGAACGTCAAGAGCGGCAAGGTGGGTGCGCATGCGCGGTGTGAACGAGGCGATACCGAGTGCGAGCGAATAGGAGTGCATAGGTCGGCAAAAATAAAAAAATGTAGAGCTCACTTAGACTCACCCAAGGAGGAGGAGGGAGGAGGTAAGTTTATTTACAGAATGGCAGATAGGTCGGCCTGAGCGATAGCTTGCTCTAGCCTGCTACTCGACACTGGGGGAAGGGAAAGGGGAAAAGAAATATTAATGGATGACGATGGTGAGATAGAGAGGTGAGTATGTAGTGTTCTTTCTAGCTTAGACACATTTTATAGCCGCGCACTTAGTCCAGTTGTTTCTAAAAAAGGTAATAACTGCTCTTCTGACCGCAGTTGCACTGTTGGTGTCTGGCCAAGGGCCCAACATGATCTCATCAGTTAATGACCTACTGCGATATAGTTCAGTAGAAGAAATCAGTGTTTGTCGTTCACGTGCGTATGCTGGGCAGACACAAAATATGTGCTCAAGTGTTTCTGGCACATCACAGTGTTCACAATTAGGACCGGTGTCACTGAGACCGATGATATGTGCGTAACGTCTGGTGTACGCTACACCAAGACGAATGCGGTGGATAATACTTGTGAGTTGCCGTTTAAATTTAGGAGGCATGCGGAACCTCATTTCCGGGTCCCATTTGTGAAGTCGCTGATGTCGCCGTTCCGGTTTGGTCCAGTGCTGAAGTGTGTAGCTGCGCATCACGCAGCGAAGCAGGGCGTTCATGTCGGCTCGTGAAAACGCAATGCGTACTTCAGGGGCACTGCTTAAGGCATTTTTAGCTTCAGCGTCTGCCTCTTCGTTTCCCATCACGCCGCAATGAGCGGGAATCCACTGGAAAGTTATAAGGTGGCCATTTGTTGAAGCAACCTGAATAAGTTTTGTGATTTCTATTGCCAAGCTGTAATACGGACCTTGCTTCATGATGCAATCAATGGTTTGCAAAGCGGGTTTGGCATCACAGAAAATCGTCCAGGCTCGAGGTCGCTCTCCGGAAATAAATCTTAATGCCTCCCGGATAGCTCTGCGGCAGTTGATGTGGTTTTATGGTCCACTTTGAATTGTCGAGCGATATACATGTCTGGGATGACAAAGGCTGCGGCGGAAATGTTTAGCGGGGTGGATCCGTCGGTGTACACGTGCAGAGAATCACTGTACGTTGTATAAATGTGATATAGGTTCAGTTGTCTGAGGCTAACAGAAGAAATGAGCGACTTCTTCGTAATTCCAGGTATCGTAAAAGAGATAGGTGGTTTAGGCAGGACCCATGGAGGCACTGCAGGGGCATTTGGCGGAGAAAACCTTGACCACAACACGTGCAATCGGGCGGCAACAACAGAGCAGGCAACACAGGCAACAACAGAGCAGGCAACAACAGAGCAAAATGCAGGCAACAACAGAGCAAAATCAAACATGGTCGGCATCCAACTGCTATAGTTGAAAGTAGCTTTTTTTTAATTTTTTAAAGGAAGATTTCGCCAGTGCTATTCTGTCATCAAACAAGTAATAAGTTGATCTAGTAAAGAACAAGCTATATAGAAATGATAAAAGATCCGTATACATAAGTCCATTCATTCATTCATTCACTGTTTATTCAGTTGGAGGCGGAAAGTGTCGGCCCGTGTGCTCAGATTTGGGTGCACGATAAAAAATCCCAGGTGGTCGAAATTTCTGGAGCCCTTCACTACGGCGTCTCTCATAATCATATGGTGGTTTGGGGACGTTAAACCCCACATATCAATCAATGAGCTGTTTATTCAGACAAAAAACAAAGATTGCCTAGGTTGAAGGGACTAAAGGCAGATTACCTTTGCCTGACTAAGGTCCCTCCACCCATATATTTGCTCAGGTGAACTAGAACAAAGATACAAATTTTATTCTTCTTTTGAGTGAGATAGACAAAATTCAAATTCAAAAAGTATAGCAGAAGTCCAAACATACATTTTAAAATAACGCATTACAGTCATCACCAATTTGCAGTTAACAGTCATCCCCGTAAAAGTCCCTAGCGTCGAGACTACTCATTCAATCCGAAATCGAATGTGAATTCATTTGACGGAAAATGGCAATTTCGCCAAATGACATTAGTTTTCCCATGCGCCAGCAAAAAAAAATGATTTTACAATCGAGTGACATTCGCTGTAAATGACGTTATATTCGCCGTGCCTCAGGGATATGAGTCTCGGTGAGTCGACTCACGAGCGAGTTTGCCGAGCTTTGCAGAAGGGTGGTAGGAGCGTGCCACTACATTAAATCCCAACCATATAAAAGGTACACTGAGTCAACCGCATGCACTCTCTCAGTCTAACCAGTCACATCACTGTTTGATGCGCACATTTTAACACGTGTGTTATGCCGTGGTCCACCAAGGCTTCACTGACGCATTTCCGTGACGGATATGACGTTGCAAAATATACACGAACAGTTAGCAAAGAAAGAACTTTCACCACCAGGACTCGAACCTACGATCTCTCCGTCCTCAGCGCGCAGCGCGAAACGACTAAGCTGTGGCCGTACCCTTATCTGAGTGCAAACAGAGAGCTCTTTGTATAGACCATTTATCGTCGGTGGTACTCAGATATCGCCGTTTTTAGCGTGTTTTTGTTCTAACTGGCGAGATAGCGTGACAAGCGCACGAGTGGGCTTCAAAGGCCGCAGCTACGCGCGTTGCAGTGCGTCGCGCTTATTTCTTGGTGGTGGTGGTTTGTGCGTTATATTCTGGCGTTGAAATCCCATAGTGCACGAAGGTCACGTTCGCTCGCTGCAGTGGCCACATTTGCGAAAAGAGCGCGCTGCTGAGATTGTGGCAGTTGTTAGTTCGCGCTCGCCTGCGTACTCAAATTTAGGTGCAGATTAACGAACCCTAGGGGGTCGAAACTCATGGTGCCCTTCGCGAGAGCGTCTCTCATAATCATATTGTGGTTTTTAGACGTGTGGTTGATGTTACGAAGGCAAAATTTTCGCGAAATAAGTTTTTCATTTGACAGTCAGCGCCCATTCTGTGTTGTTCGTCCTTTTGTCTTTTTTTTTTCGCTTTCACACTTTTCGTTAATATGCATATATACCTACTAGGTCAGTCTACCACCATTTTTGATTACCATAGCACCGAAAGCACTTCCTCTACCCCCCGGAAAGAGCCGTGGTCCAAGGTAGATCGTTATGAAAAGCATGTCAACGCTTCATTAGGGTGTTTTAAAATAGTGTACGCAAAAGTTCTGTTTTAGTGTTTTGCGCCACTGCGCATGCAGGGTAGGCTAGCCTCTTGTGGTCTCACGCTAAGTGATGATAGCTAGCCACCGCAACGAGCGACTCCTTGACCCGATGACGAACAATTAGCAAACGACCGCAACGAACGCTAACTTAGCGAACGCTAGTCTGTTTTCACCAACGAACGCTAACTTAGCGAAGCCCCCTGTTTTAACTACCGCATTCATTGAGGTTTCTTTTTTTTTTTCTCAAACGAGCAACCTAGAGGGTTGCTAGGGTTGCTGTGTGACTTCGCCTTCCGCCCCTTCTCTTAATGAAGCACTCTGGTAATGCATATACAGTCAACTACAACATATGTTTGTGTTCACTATACACGCGCCTATGCGCAATTTTCCTAGAGTGTCACGCCACCCTGCGGCTACTGGCGGAATTTTTTCAAAGAATATCGGTCGGCGGGGCGGTGGCGCTCCTGGTTGCATTTGCTTAGAGTTACTATATATGCTACCTTCAGGTAGCAGAGTTGCGCTTAGGTACGCCATCTTGGGTTCAAATGTTTTGCGGGAAAGCCACTCACCACCCGCGTAGGAGCAACGCTCGCGCCTCAGAGTGCTACATAGTCTCTCAATATTGAGGGATTATGGTACTAGCGTTGCTTTATTTCTTTTTTCTCTTTCTTTACTTGTTTTTTAAAGTATGAGTGAAACTCGGTTGCTCCGGTCATACCTAGAAGCCTTGATTTGATGCTTACGTTCTTGGTATGTAATAATAAAACAAAGTGCGTAGCCCGCTGAATCAGTGAGATACATATTTATGGTTGGTTACACTAGCTTCGCCTTTTCCGCTGTTTTTCCCATTTACAAACATGAAGTTATTTTTGCACTTTTTAACGGAATCGAACCTGTTAGGGATGAAATTTTTTTCATCATGTTGGACTCATTCGTTAACTGGGTGAGGGAGCCAGGTGTAGTTGTATCGCTTTCAACTGAATCGAGCTGAACAGCGATCGAAAGTGCCCATGCGACGCCCATATTGCACACGGCTCTCTATTGCGCTCGCATTACAATCACGGCTCACGACAGCTGATGTGAAGCAACAGCCGATGTCAACCACGCTTGATCTGCCCGGAATCATCGTAGCGTTGGCTTCTCCGCAGTGCATTTGAACCACTTATGACGACGTGATGGCGCTCGGCGAATAGGGGCGCTGAAGTCCTGTAGGCGGAGCGAGCGGCGCCCAGAAAACAGTAGCGCAACTCTGCTACCTAAAGGTAGCATATACAGTAACTCTACATTTGCTTTGTGTTCTTCGAGTCGTAATTGCGGCCGAGAAATGCCTGTATTTAAAGGCTTCAAAAGCAATGGCATGTTCTGCGTGCCGCAGTGTACAAACAGGGCGTCGATGACAGTCAGCCTAAATTCCTTCCCAATGGATGAAGCGAGAAAAAAGCAATGGATAGCGAAGTTGAAAATTGGCGATTCGGTCACATCACTGATGGTGTGCAGCGCGCACTTTATCAGTACCGACTACTTCTGCAGCAACGTAGGTAAGAAAACGAGAATCTCTGATTTTTGCTTGTGTCAAGCCCAAGTTTTTAATGGCCGTTACATCTCGCCTTGTGAGAAACGCATATGTTTACATCTTGGGCTGCACTTAGTATGCCATCACTAGGTCGAGTTCGAGCTGCATAGTTGTAGACAGCGCAGCGGGAACGAGCAGCTTAGGCCATCCAACACCACCTAGACTATATGTCAATAGTCTAGGTGGTGTTGGGCCATCCCATA